GTGTTACAATAGCCTAACATATAGTGACCATCGTGACTTATGACAAATAAAGTTTAAAATTCATGTGCGAATACCAGATAAACGTGACGGTGTTACTATAGCTCAACATATTATTGAAAATAATGTACCAGATAAACGAAATGTCATCAGTGGCTCAACAAGGTGCCCCCCCCCCCCCCCCCCCCAGGGAAATTCTCTTATAACAAATTTCTGAGGGGTTGGGCGCCCTTGGGATTGGGTTCAAACAGCCTCTATGGTAGTTGATTAAGTCCCAAAGACAATCAGAAATCTGTCCTGACAATATTATTTTATGCGGCATGTTTTTATCCGTGTCCCTCTTCAATCTCCATTAGTTCAGTAGAAATAGCGCGTACACAAGACCTCGTTTCATTTTTGTTCGTTTCATCAGAAAAAATCTTTCACATTAAGTTCAGAAAAAAGAGGGTTAGAGAGGTTATCAAAAAGTAATCGTTTTAAACATTTCAATTAAATAATGTCAAAGTAATCATGTAAGTTTTATCAGGTATTGTAACGACTTCATTAAACTAATGGGGTGTATCACGAAGCTACGTTTAAATATTTATAAAACTTTAAAAGATAATGGAAAGTTGTCGATTAATTGCTTCTAGAACTATCTATAGTGCTACTACAAATTGTTATGCAACTTGAAGCTATATTAAGGAAGATGAAATGCAGAGATTTTATCGTCGCCGCCATCAAAATCGTTTCGGTCCAGAATATTGTGTCGTAAACGTATTGAATATTTTATGTACAATTATGTCAGCTGTATTGATATTCTCATTTTTAATTGCCAACTCATAGGCATCTTTAACGTACATACGTTACAACTACGTGGTTCCTTGTCACATCTGACCTGTAACATGAAATCAAGTTCAACCAGGTTGAAAAATCCGAAGCTGTCACCAGCTCGAGAACCACCCTATTGTTAAATATTCTTTTTGATTTTTCGCTCCTCTTCAGTGAGTTCGTGTTATTGGCGCATACGCCTAACGTCGTGAAAGGTTATACGTCCATTTCTAAATCAGACGTTCTAATAGGAATTTATATCAAAGAAACACGTGTCGGTATAGCGTGAGATGAACTCTTTTCAATACTTCAAGACGTAGGATTGCAAATAGAGTTTTAAAAATGGGCCCATGAAGACAGGCAGAAAGATGGATATTTTTTGTCATCAATATGGCAGTCTGGGAGCTAGTAATCTATCATATACACGTGATCGAATTTCGATGTCTACATTATTGGATTATGCTATATACATGTATTTACATCCAAAATAAAATTCGATATTCTTATATTTAGATAACATTTGATATTTTCAATTTATTGTTTAATATAATTTGATAGCTATTATTATCATCATGATAATGTGATAATAGACTTTTGAATTATGAATAATAAAAACATAATTGAAAAAGAAAGAATATTATATTATATCGACTATCAAACAGAAAAATACACAGTTTCAGAATATATCAACTGATTGGTTCAAATTGCCGCGATCAATCTATCATCTTTCAAACAATGCTACAAATGGTTCCTTCAACTACGGTTTTATGACCTGTGACCGCAAAAGTTTCAATGAACTGGTTTGATATATGAATAAACCTTAAATAGATATGATTTGAACAGTTGACTTATTTTTATTCACTCATTGCGATTAATTGTCTCCCTTGAACATGAAAATTTCAAGCATAGTATATCAATTACCTCCCTTGAATTCCAAAATTCCGATAGGTTTGAGTTTGGTGCAACGTCTGGTTTGGACCGTTCTAGAATTTTCACCATCATATTTAACGCTCAGGTTTATCAAGACTATATAATGGATTTTCTTCAATTTTATTTTCATCTCGACAAACAACTGTTTAGGAATTTCATTATTAAAAAACCCACATCGCCGTTAAACCACAAAACAATTAACATGAGTCATTCTAAGTAATTGCAGAGAGGAAATTGCCAGAATGAAGTCTATTTTTTGCACAGGTGAAGGAAAACAGCTTGTTTTCATATAATCATGAAATTAACAAATTCTGATACAATTAATTGTGTTAAATTATGATTAGCCTATGTTTGAAAAAGTGACGATTATTTGTTGTTCTTCTGGCAAAATAGGTTGATTAGACTAATTTTTCTCTTATCAACTCGACTACTTTTTATTATACGCCAACATCTCTCTATGTGGACGTATATTGTCGGCGCCCCTGGCCGTCCGTCCGTCCGTCAACATTTACTTATAAACGCTCTAAAAACTAGACTTTTTGATGGAATCAAATGAAATTCGGTATGTGTATACATATTCATAAAACGAAGATCAAGTTCGAATTTGAGCTATTTTCGACCGTTGGAAGCAGAGTTATTGCCCTTGCCCCGTTTTTACCATCCGCATGCCGTGGTGGGCGTATATGGCTGTGGTCCACTGTCTTTTAACTTAGCTTTGCCTACTTTACTCCCTTAATTTAACTTCGACTACTTTTCGTTTAACTTAACTTCACCTACTTATCATTTAACTTAATTTCGCCTATACTTTCTTTTAATTTAGCTCGCATTCTTTTCTTGTAACTCAAATTTGCCTACCCTACTTTTCTTACTTCGTCTACTTTTCGTGTAACTCAACTTTGCCTACACTACTTTTACCTTAACTTTGACTACTTCTCTTTTAATTTAAGGGCTACTTTTATAATAACTTAATTTTACCCACTTTTACTCGCATTCTTTTCTTGTAACTCAGATAACCATTCCTCGACACTTGAAAAAGGATAATATTTCGAAAACCGGTTCGTGTCAATTGCGTAAGTTTTTGTTTTACTTGTTATAATTTTTCACATCATTGTTAGCGTTATTTATCACCTAAATATATATTTTTGCATTCATCATAACTTTCATCTTACTTTATATATCCCCAAACCCAGTTTGACTTATTTGCATAATTTGATCCCCACATTTTCACGCTAGCATATACAGTTTCCTCCTGTTACATCCGCTGTACATTCCCTTTCTAACCTCAAGTTATTTTCATTATGCTCCCCAACTACAACAACCACTGGTAAGAAGCCAGACATAGAAACACTAATCGTCAACCAAACCAATATCACGTACCCTACAACGGCCCTGTCTTCCATCGACCTCTACCACCTACCAATCGCCAACCACCAACCAACCAATCCAGCTATATCTCACCCCATCGCCGACCTACCTACAACACCTACCAATCAAGAGGTAACCATCGACCTGACCAACAACAGAAACGACTACCAGCCCACCGACGCCAACCAGTCCCCACTCATAAGGAGGAAGAACCCTTTGTGAAGGTGTTCTTCCAAGTTTTGCAGTGCCTCCATCATTTGGCAATCCTTACCCTTCAACAGCAAGCCCAACCAGCGTTTACCTTCAAACGCAAAGTCTCTGAGTTGGATAGTTTTATCCGTCCAGCAATGAAAACATCAGCTGTTGACGCGAATATTAGATCCCTCAATCGGACATGGCTTTCTAAGGTTACGCAGGTCCTGATCGACCATTACCAAACCACACTTCAAGA